CTCTCTCTCTCTCTCTGCTCTTTTGTTTGCTTCTGCTCAGGCTCCACCTTCTTACTCCACAACATCCACCACATGCGGCATCAGGAGGGACAACACACGCTAGCTCATAGTTTATCCTATACATTATTTAATTTTAAATGTTCTAACAATATTAAAACTAATAAAATGGCTTTCTATGTCTGTAGTTACAAGACCTGCACCACAATGTGACTGTGTATTTTCATCAATCAGGCAAATTTACGCCAACCTGTCTTATGCACATGCGAGCTAAGCCTTGTAATGGTTGTTGTAATGGCCTGGCACTGGTCTGCGGCACTGGTCTGGTCTGCAGCACTGGTGTGCAGCGGCCATGAGGCGCAGATCAGCGCCTCTCCCCCCGCTCGGGCCAGGCTCCGTCCTTGGCCCGAGCGGGGGGAGAGGCGAGCGGACATTAAGGAGAAGTTGTGCGGCCGCAAGTCACGACAAAAAGCATCGCGAACATCTAATGAAGTGTCATGAGAGCGGTTCGTTGCACGGAGATGTGCTCGAAATGCGTGTGGTTGTCATGTCGGACCTGACGCCGCTGCAGGGCTGAGCAAAGAGACAGCCACATTAGCCCGGCTAGCCGGGGTGCTAGTTAGCAGTTAGCCATACCTCCTCCACCCGCATGTCTATGATCCGCTCCACTTCGTACACATCCTCTTCCTCGTCCTGCTCGCTCTCCGTGGGCTCTACTCTGTCGGTTTCAGCCGCCATGGCTGCTGGACTGTACAGTTAACTACGACTCGAAGTTTGTTCTCGTCGCACAAGGCCGCCGTGTTGACGGAGGTGAAACGTTGGCGCACCTGGGGGCAGTGTCCGCTCAGAACTGAACGCAGCGCAGATACCGCCCAGTCCCGCCGTGCTGCGTTCACGCTGGCTCGGAATCTGCCCCCTTCATATTTTTACCACTAACTTACACTAGCCTTTTTTATACTTCTCATAGTTCATCTAAATATATAGACACGAGGAAATATATTAATTTTGTGTTATTTAATATTTCTCCAAAATAATGTAGTAAATCACGTATACAGTGCCTATGGACTAAAATGATTTACAAATGTCGATGTTTCCTGAAAGCATCTAAGACCTTTATGTTTCTGTAGCCATGGACTAGGTATGTGACTAACCTGTATACATAAAGGTTGAATGAATGGACGGTGCCCTGTGATGGACTTAACCTGCCGGAGGTGTCCCTGTGATGGACTTGACCTGTCCAGATGTCCCCCACCTATTGCACAGTGATAGCTGGATATGGGCACCAGTGACCCCCATGACCCAAAAAGGAAGAAGCAGTACATAATAGATGTAATTATTACATTACAACAAAGACTGGTTCATTCCAAAGATCCAGTCCCCCGGCACAAACAGAGCAATGTTGTGTATGCTGTTCAGTGTCAGGAGGGTGATCAGTCTTACATCGGGGAATCAAAACAGCCACTGGCCAAAAGGATGGACCAGCACAGAAGATCAACATCATCAGGCCAGGACTCTGAGGTCTACACTCATCTCCAGGCCAGCAGTCACTCTTTCAGGGATGAAGATGTTCACATCCTGGACAGAGAGGAACGATGGTTTGAGAGAGGAGTAAAGGAGGCCATCTTTGTGAAAAGAAACCGTCCATCATTAAACAGGGGCGGAGCCTCCGGGTTCAACTGTCCCCCTCTTACAATGCTGTGATTGCTAGTATCACTCAACCCTGTGAATAGTAAACAGCCATCAGTGTGCTAATGATCCATTGTTAGGCTGATGGTCCTTCTTGAGCATGTGATCAGCTGGTTTTGGTTGTCAGCAGCAAACTGGTTGATCCACTCTGAGAAGGTGCTATTTAAGAGACTGAGCTGAATACAGCTCCTCAGACTGAGGAAGTCTCTCGGATGAGAGACGAAACATTTCTACACACTTTTTTTGAACGTCCAGAGGACCAGACTTAACTTTTTTTAGACAATGAAGCAAACGTGATCATCATGTTACCAGCTTTGACTTGGAGCAACAATTCAGGACAAACTTCAGTCAGTCCTTCAATCTGTTACCAGTTTAGTATCATATGTCAGGATTCAGACCCATTTCTGTGAAACAATTTTACTCTACTAAATAGACTAGAGCATGTGATACAAGAACCCCTCACGTCTTTGTTTTCAACTTAACACACAAACTGTTTTGACCTGATTACCAGTAAATCACCCAGGTCTGGAGAGTAACAAGAAGACACCTGCCAATGTTACCAGGAAAGATGCCACAGGTACTGTTGCTGATTGGTTGCCTTGCTACACAACTCTCAGTAGACATCCAGTTCCAAGGAATGAGCCACAGAACTGATGACTGTTGCTGTTATACAGTAAAGATACATGGTGCTTGAAAGTCTGTGAATCCTCGATAATGTTCTATATTTCTGCAACAATATGACCTAAAACATCATCAGATTTTCACACAAGTCCTAAAAGTAGAGAAGAGTTAAACAAATGAGACAAAAATATTATACACGGTCATTTATTTATTGAGGAAATGATCAGACACCAGAGGTGTATTTTAATACGTACAAACATGGATAAACATAAAGAGCTATTGTTTGAGGAGAGTGGCACCAGCTTCAATATGCTCATCTTCAAACTCCAAAAATGATTTTAAGATCAGCCAGGGAGAGTTTGGAGACGGTGCTTCCTGTTCCTGAAAGTACATTCTGGGCCAGTTCCTTCTTCTTTATCTGCAGCATGGAAATCTTCTCCTCCACCGTGCCTTCACACACAAATCTGTTGGCATTCACACAAACGGTACAAAACATTCAACACTCATATAAAGTAGTAAATATTAACAAAGATGGAATGAAGACACTTTCATGTGATGTATGACTTTTTGGCTTGTCATTTGATACATGATCAGAGTCAGTTTCTTTATTTGTCATTCGCACCTCATGTGGTACATGTGGTGGGACGAAATTATGTTCACAGGGTCCCAGTTACATCCAACAATTAAATGTAAAAGAAAAACAGTAATAACATCTAAGATATGAACTAAGAAAAACATCAACTAAATATACACCAAACACTGAAAGCATAAAAACATTACGTTTAACAGCAGCACGAACATGAGTCTGTGAGCAGATGAGCACGAATGAACACAGCAACATGAAACAGATCAGCAGCAGCATGAAACAGATCAGCAGCAGCATGAAACAGATCAGCAGCAGCATGAAACAGATCAGCAGCAACATGAAACGGATCAGCAGCAACATGAAACGGATCAGCAGCAACATGAAACGGATCAGCAGCAACATGAAACAGATCAGCAGCAACATGTGATTTTTTTCACAGTGATTATTCTGGTTAGAGATTCATGAGTCTAACAGCCTCAGGGTAGAAGCTGTTCCTCAGTCTAGTGGTTCTACACTTAATGCTCCTCAACCTCCTTCCTGAGGGGAGCGGGGCAAAAAGTGTGTGTGCTGGGTGAGTGTGGTCCTTCATGATGCAGGCGGTCCTCTTCCTGCATCTAGAGGTGTAGATGTCTGTGATGGTGGGGAGACTGACTCCAACAGTCTTCTGTGCAGCCTTCACCACTCTCTGCAAAGCTTTTCTTTCTGCAGCTGTGCAGCCTCCATGCCACAC